CTATCTGCTGCTGAGTTCCTACAGGCCCTCCTGAAATCTGATCTGGGAAAGAAAAATACAATCCAATGCTGACTTCCATGCAGGAAAATTAAAATATCATGATACAGATCTCAGATTTTATGCATGTGTTTCATTCAATAGCATTGAACTGATACAGATGTTTCCAGAAGCAGTTTTACTGAATTAACTACTGAAACATTTTTCTTCCTTAATTTTAAGGAAGAGCATGAAGAAGAAGGGAAGAGTAGAGAAACTGTGAATTCAGCTAACCAGAAAGTAATTATTCAAGTGGATATCCCAGCCAGCAAAGCTAACAGTCCTTCTCTAATGAAAATCTCTGTGGGTCTTCAATCATGAAGAACAATACGCTGAACATGGCGTCATTTTTGTATGGCAACAGTGATTCAAGGAATGAAAAAATGACTTACAGGAATCTTGGCTTTGCATGTCTTCCCTGAGCAGTACTGTCAGAGCTTTAGTAATGCTACAGGAGAGAACAAGACAGATTGCTGCCACATGAATCTCTAACACAGCCCCAGCCAACCAAAGGCAGACACAACTCTGATCTGAACAGGGGCTGCTGTGCAGCTCTAACCCTGCTGCATGGTACAGGGTCAGTCCCCCTTATATGGCAGTACAGTAAGGTGGCAGGTTCTCCTCAGGTGGATCCAGCAGTAAGGAGATAGAAAGAAGCAAGAATACAGGAGCTGAGAATACAAAAGCTTGACAGTCGGTGTCTGGCCACCAGTACAAATCCTTCATTTTGCTGGTTAGAAAGTTATGTAGTGGAAAATTTCACTTCTGATCGATAAGACGGCTGGTTCAATATCAGCAGTGTGAAACCCACAGTCTCACAGTACGTAGTTTCAGCCTGGATTTCCTTCAGTTTTCACCTGTCCTCCTTTTCCCCGAGCTGGCCTTAACCTAAGGGTCAGAGCACAGCTTGTGCTGCTGGGGTCGGCTGGAGTCGCCAGCACGGCTACATTGACGCTGCAGCAGGATCTCTGGGCTCCCAGCTTTCAGCAGAAGAGCCTCATCCTCTCTCTTTATTTTGTGGGTACAGTTTGAGGATGGCAGGAAGTTTTGTTTACTCTATTTTTCCACACCTTTGCTTTGCCACCATATTGACACTAATACAGAGAAGGAAAATAAGTGCTAACAATAATTCTTGCCTTGGTTCTGGAAAGGAAGGATCCTTGACCATTAAAATTATGCCAAGAATATTCTGGAACCAAAACAACTTCCCAACCAAAAAAGTAAATTCTTGCTGATGGCAAATCTAGAAGTTCTGGTCTCTAATGAGCTACGGTAATGATGATTGTAGTAAAAAGTTCAGTTGTGCCTCTGTGAGCCTCTCTGAAGGAAAAAGTAGCAGAAGAGAGCAAAAGGAGGTATGGGCTCAAACTGCATGCTAAATGTGATGTGAAGACATCACCTGCAATATAAAAGTGATTGCTGCTGGGTCTGGGTGTCATATTTTTCACTTCTAGACTAGAATAGTTGAATACAGAGATTTAAAAACAAACCGATGGCAAGAGTTGTCAGCTACGTATGATTTCTAAGTAGAGAAGTTACCCATTTGACTTGTGAAGAGACCTGGGGTAGTGTTGTGGTTTAGCCTGGTCAGCAAGTAAAGGCCACATAGCCGCTCACTAACCCTCCCCTACCCCTGGGGAATGGGGAAGAGAAAGAGGAAAAGGGAAGGAAACTCATGGGTTGAGATAACAACAGTTGAATAATAATAATGTATTAATATATGTATATGTATAATGATAATAATATATATAAACAAGTAATGCACAGTGTAATTGCTCACCAGCCGGTGACAAACGCCTGTCCAGTCCTGGTAAACGATCCTGAAACAGCATGATATGGAATACTCCATTGGCCAATTTGGCCCTCAATCTAAGTCTAAGTTCAAATCATAAGGGCAGTTGTGGACCCTTTGTCCCGGCCTTGTTCCCCCCAGCCTGTTGTGCTCCTGCACACTGGCAAAAACATGGAAACCTGAAAAGTTCTTGAGGTCTCAGTGCCGACTATAAATATCAGTGCACTATCAACATTCTTCTCATAACGAATCCCAAAGTAAAACCAAAACACGGAGCTCTTCTGACTGCTAAATAGAAGAACTAACTCTGTCCCAGCCAAAACCAGGACAGGTAGCTGAGTCCTAGAGTCCTTCCACCTGACTCAGTTGCTTTGCCCAAGTACAGACCATGAATTGCCCTTTGCTCATGCAGAGAAACATAGGCACTTCCAAGACAGAGTCACATCTTAGGCTGGCTGAAATCCATAAGGTTAAGTGGAAATGGGCAGCAAAATCTTCAAATAATTTCTTTTATGCTTACCTAAGGTACACTTTGAAGTTTAGCTCCTTGCAGTTGTCTGTTTCTAGAAGAAATTTTCAGAAGGGTGCAAGTATTCCCTGAAACGACTCAGACTGCAATGAAAGACATCTGTTCCACTCCTTCGCCTTACTAACAAAAACTCCTGCTTTATGTATTCCCAAGCTACAAGTCTCTGTCCCCTGAAGCAAATTCTCCATCAAAAAGGTGATAATACACTGATCTTCGAAGCACGGTTTGAGAGTGGGAATTTGCAGAAGGTGATCAAAGTGTAAGTTTCTAATCTTTTTTTCTTTTATTAAGATGGAGTTATTATCAGAGTTGTTATTATCAGCAGTCTGCTATCAGTTTCTGAACAGGATGTGTTACTGTGGGTTTGTAACTTGTTTTACATTAGTTGAATAAGCTTCAAAAATCATTACAGGTAACCTTCACTTGAAATGGTCTGATAGCCATTCCATAGCACTGAATGTTTTATATAGGTGATAATCACCCGCACAAACTTAACACCTTTTCTTAAGCACCTCCTTTTAAAGCATAGTGTGGAGAATGTTTTTAGAAGCCGTAGCTATTATTAAAAGTCCTAATGAAGACAGCAGTTGCATTATTGTCACTCTCAGTGCAATTAGGCATCTTTTCCTGGCACCTGCCTAGAGTCTGATTTATGGCTTGCACCTGATTCACCGCAGGGCGCTTTTTCATGGCAGTCCGCGTAATTAAACACGGCATCATACTACAGTGCTGACCAGCATTACAACTGTTTGTCTTTCTGCCTACCAGCGATGAATTCGAGTACCAACTGACCCTGCGCACCGACCTCTACACAAGCAGACACACGCAGTGGTACTACTTCCAAGTAAGCAATACGCAGGCAGGGATACCGTATCGCTTCAATATCGTCAACTTCACCAAGCATAACAGTCTATATAAATGTGGCTTGCGGCCACTGTTGTGCTCCGAAGCTGATGCTACAAAACACAAGATTGGCTGGCGAAGAACTGGAAACGAAATCAAGTATTATAAGAACAGTGCGGGCCAAGGTGGACGTCAATATTTCTCCCTGACTTGGACATTCCAGTTCCCTCATGACCGAGACACCTGCTACTTTGCTCACTGCTATCCTTACACCTACTCCAACCTGCAGGACTACCTGGTGGCCATCTCAAAAGATCCAGTGAAGTTCAAATTCTGCAAGATTCACATCTTGTGCCACTCACTGGCAGGAAACACAGTGTATGTTCTAACTATCATCAACCCTCCTAAAAGTGGCAAGGACACTGAGAGAAAGGCTCTAACTGCGAGAACGCATCCAGGAGAAACTAACAGTTCCTGGAAAATGAAGGGCTTTCTGGATTACATTCTTGGCTATTCAGGCAAAGCTCAACTCCTGCGGGACAATTTTGTCTTCAGAGTAGTACCCATGTTGAACCCAGATGGTGTGATTGTGGGAAATCACCGCTGTTCTTTAATGGGTCAGGACTTGAACCACAAATACAGATCTAACATGAAGAAATTTTATCCTTCCATCTGGTATACCCGAAACATGATCAAAAGGTACCCTCATTTTCTTTCCCTTTAGAATAGATTATTTGCTTTTCCACTGTCTCTTTGTTAGTGTGACTTCTCTAAGTCCCTTACTATTTTGGTATTGTTTATGTCTTTGCCTGATACCCAAGTCTTTCTGACTGTTCTGTTTACGTTCAGTTGCATTTTCGAGTGGGTTATTTTTTTCTTCAGTATTGTGCATGTTTTCCTTTAATATGCTTTCTCCATTCCTGGTAACAAGTTGTATCTCCAAAGTTAAACAGTTTACATCAAAACATTTTCAGCATATTTCTCCCCACTATCCTGTGCCAAAATCTACTTATCGAACTCCTTATTTCTTTAATTTTCTTCTTTTCTGGCATACAGCTGCATCCCAGAGTGAAGTTAGGTTCAGGATAGATCCCAGATGTCCATTTGACAGCAAAGCTTGCCAAGTTTGCTATGTGTTTTGCTACAAATATGTCTGATTTCTTACAGAGACTTCCAGTCACAGAGACATTGATACTCTGGATATAAAACTAAACCTTTGGGTATTAAACTAAACCTTCAGCTAGTAAACTAAATCCCACTCATTTAACTTCTGTAACAAATTAATACAAATAAGACTCTTGTGCAGAAAGCCAGTATCAGAATTAGTACATTTAATGTTTTTCATCTAGTTACAGCCTGTTTTAAGTAAGATCTGTGTTCTTTCAAATGAATGTTTTGGCATGTAGATCTCTAGCTTACAAGCGATGAGCACTGCACTTCATGTTTTCCATGAGAATTCCTCTCTCTGTCTCACCATATGGAGACAGGTTGCAGTTGTGAGTGCCCTGTAATTAATATTCATTATGTCTGCTGCTGACCTTCAGCCTCATAGTCAGCTACAGTCAGCTGAGACATATATTTTTGTTACTGCTTCCTTCTTAGCTCTACTGCAGATTTCCAACTCCTGCCCAGAGTAAAGCCCCAGGTGAGACACTGTGGTGCTGTCACATCTTCCCTGTAGAGCTCTACTTCAACATGAATCGGGCATCGAGGGTGTGGGTTGCTAAACACCAACATGTCTACCTGCAAATTTTCTTTAAAAACTTAGTAGAGCAATAATACATTGCAGAATCTTGGCACGTCATAAAAATCAATGAAAAACATCTGAGAGTCCTGAGAGAGCTGGCAGATGTCATTGCCAAACCCCTGTCCATTATCTTTGGGCAGTCTTGGCTCACTGGGGAAGTTCCGCTAGACTGGAGGCTGGCGGATGTTACCCCCATTTACAAAAAAGGGCGGAAGGAGGATCCGGGGAACTACAGGCCTGTCAGTTTGACCTCGGTGACGGGCAAAGTCATGGAACAGGTTATCTTGAGTGCTATTAATGAGCACATACAGGTTAACCAGGTGATCAGGCCCAGTCAACATGGGTTTATGAAAGGCAGGTCTTGCCAATCAAACCTGATCACCTTGTATGACAGGGTGACCCGCCTGGTTGACGAGGGAAGGGCTGTGGATGTAGTTTTCCTTGACCTCAGTAAAGCCTTTGATACAGTTTCTCATAGTGTTCTGGTTGAGAAACTGGTAACTGCTGGCCTGGATAGGCACACCCTCCTTTGGGTTAAAAACTGGCTGGACGGCTGGGCCCAAAGAGTGGTGGTAAATGGGGCTAAATCCAGCTGGAGGCCAGTCACCAGTGGGGCTCCCCAGGGCTCAGTGCTGGGTCCAGTTCTGTTTAACATCTTTATCAATGACCTGGATGAGGGGATTGAATGTACCCTCAGTAAATTTGCGGATGACACCAAGCTGGGATGCTGTGTCGATCTGCTCGAAGGTAGGGAGGCCCTTCAGAGGGATTTGAACAGACTGAATTGTTGGGCTGAGGCCAATGGCATGAGCAGAGTCCTTCATTTGGGGTATAAAACCCCAAGCAAAACCACTTGGCCAATGGCAAGGCCAAGTGCAGAGTCCTTCACTTGGGGTATAAAAACCCCAAACATCGCTATAGGCTCGGGGAAGAGTGGCTGGAGAGCTGCCTGGCGGAGAAGGACCTGGGGGTGTTGGTTGACTACCGGCTTGATATGAGCCAGCAGTGTGCCCAGGTGGCCAAAAAGCCCAATGGGATACTGGCGTGTATCAAGAATAGTGTGACCAGCAGGAGCAGGGAAGTGATCCTGCCCCTGTACTCGGCACTGGTGAGGCCGCACCTGGAATATTGTGTCCAGTTTTGGGCCCCTCGCTTTAAGAGAGATATTGAGCTCCTGGAGCGAGTCCAAAGAAGGGCAACTAAACTGGTCAAGGGGCT